TTTAATTTAAATATTTTTGATACATTCGTTTTTTGAAGAATTTTTTTTTTCGGCGCAATTTTGGGAGACATTTTTTCCTCCAGAACAAATTTTTTTTTTGTCAAATTATTCAGAACTTTTTTCTCCCTTTTCAAAAACTCCAAATTTATCGAAAAGCTACTCAGAACAGCTTTTTTTTTGGTCTTTTTGCGGCAACTATTTCACTGCTGGGGTAAACATTTATAGAATCTAACAAAAAATACGTAGTTATTTATTATTCTTATGAATTTTTATTATTCAAAAATCATTTCGTCTTAACACATATTTACACATTTACAAAATACATACATAATGTATATACATATATAAAATAAGTTTATACATATACATACAATAAAGAGAGAAAGGAGAGAAAGAAATATTCATTAAAAATACGAAATAGAATATATTTTTCAAATTCGAAGTAATAAATGATTACGGCAAACAGGCGAGTGACAAAAAATTTCATTTCAAATTTGAAAAAAGAAATTTTGAAACTTAATGGTGCTGATTTTCATGTGTATGTTTTATAAGTGGCATGCATGATAAAGATAGCTACAAATTAGATCTATATAATTGGCAAATTTTGAACAAAATGCATTTATGTGTAGCGCATACAAGGGAGAGAAGTTTGGGATAAGAGCTTTTGACTACTCATGATTTATCACAAGCGTTTGAGCTTTCTCCCCTTAAAGTGTANTGGATAAGGGCTTTTGAAGTGCTTTTCACTACTCATGATTTATCACAAGCGTTTGAGCTTTCTCCCCTTAAAGTGTACACACTGCAAAAAAATTCATTATCTTTCAGTTCTAATTGGGTTTTGGGGGAGTCTACTGACAACTCAAAGACACAACTAAACCATTTATATTATTAAGAGTGGATTTCTTTAAATATAAGCAGCTAGTTGAGTGTTGTCCTAGACAAGAAGCCATCTTTGTTTTTTGCTAAATAATTTACATAAGTTGTAAATACTTAAAACTAAATAAGTGGCAGGGTTTACATACACAGCAGCCAAAGAGCGATTTTCGCCGAGGAAGAAAATTTGAATTTGAGGGAGCAAGAAAAATTTTTACATCTAAAATACTCTTGAAAATTTATATGGCCAGAAATGAGATTATTTTAGTGTTGTTGCGAACTTTTTTCTCTAAGCGCAAGTGACTTTAATTGAATTTAATTTTCGTTTACTTTTAGGTAGTCACTTAGCACTACTTCCTTCTACTACTTTTCCGCCACAGCGAAATCGGTCTCGGTATTTTAAAATACATTATGCGCCATCTCTGTGCCTTAGCCTTTGTCATTAAGATTCCTCAATTTCCAATTTGTTCGTTCCTTTGCGAAAATCTAAAATTTTCTACTCGTTTTTATGTTTTTTCTTTCTCACTAAATTTTCGAAGTCGCTTTTGCCACAACTTCCTCCTTATAATTTCATAATTAAAACTAAAATTCATTCCGCCCTCGTTGCTGAAATCATATACACAGTAATCGTAGAAGTAGCCGCGCGCTGTATCCCAACGTCCAATGGCTTACTTCTTTTTATGTGCGTAGCCGTGTCCGCTGGACGAGAAATCGTAGCCGCTGGATGAGAAGCCACCATGCCCATAACCGCCATCATGTCCATAGCCGCCATCATAGCCACCACCGCTGATTCCATGTTCGACCACCGAATGTCCGGCTACCACTGGTACGGGTACGTGCACAGCAACGGGTCTTTCAACATGCACTGGCACTGGGCGTGTCACATGAACTGGGTAGGGACGATCGATAGCCACCTTGACAGGCACTGGCACTGGGCGATCGACTGTGTAGGGCACGTGTTTCTCGACGGTGTAGGGCTGTGGCACTGACACGGGCACCTTGACATGATAAGGACGATCCACTGGCACTGGGTAGGGTCTGTCGACGCGCACTGGTACCTCCACTTTGACCTGTTTCTCTACCACAACTGGGTAGGGTTTCTCTACGGCCACTGGATAAGGTTTGGGTATAGTGACTTGCACGGGACGATCGACTGGCACATGTACGGGTACTTGTACATGACGGATGACCTCGTAGGGCTGTGGTACTGGCACTTGCACTTTGACGGGCACTTGAACGTGCTTGATAACTTCATAAGGTTGTGGTACGGGCACTTTGACGGGCACTTGTACGTGCTTGATCACTTCGTAGGGCTGTGGCACTGGCACCTTCACTGGGTAGGGACGATCGACTGGTACGGGCACCTTAACCTCGACACGCTTCTCGACGGTGTAGGGCTGTGGCACATGTATTGGCACCTTGACATACTCCTTGACCGAAACGGGCACCTTGCGTATCACTTCGTAGGGCTGTGGTACCGGAACTTTAACTTCAACGGGAACACGCTTCTCATGCACCACCGGGTAGGGACGATCAACAGTCACCGGCACTGGCACGCCCTTGGTGATGGTGATGGTTTTGTGTACATCGGCTGTCTTGCTTATGAGGAAGGGATGATGTGCGACACCGCCTCCCGACACATAGCCGCCTGACGCATAGCCGGTGTGTCCGTAAGATGTAGCGGGTCCGGATACAAGTCCATAACCATTACCATGTTCAATGCCACCATGGCCAATGTAGCCGAGATCGAGTCCGGAGTGACCGTAGCCATAGCCGAGTTCGAGCAGACCGCGTTTGTCGAGCTTCTTCTCGAGCGGTACTTTCTTGCCTGAAGCTGAGCTGGCAGCTGCAGCTTCGACGGTGGCTTTCTTGGCGGTGGTATCGCCCGCGTAGGCGGTGGCCACGAGCAGCGCGGCTAAGCAGATCTGGAAAAGAGGAGGGGGAAAGATTTCTTTATTAATTTTGTTTTTCGAATCAAGTTGGTGGGTGAGTTGATAATAATTAACTAAAAATTGGGTTTTCATAAAAAAAAAGTCGGAACATTTCAAAAAAAATTTCAATTAATAAGGGGTTTCACAATTTGTTTATAACAAATACGTTTTTTATATGACTAAAATATGGCAAAACTTTTTATATTTACTGACCTTGGGTGGAAAGAAATAAAAAATTTTATGTACTTAAATTTTTAATTTTAAATAAGTCTTTTGATTCTACATTTTTTTTTTTATATAATATAAATATGGCAATACCTTTTCGATTATCTGACCCGAATGACTGAGCGATTTTAGAAAATAGATTGGAAATATTTTTTGAAAAGTCCTTTGATTCTGCAAAATTATGTGGTTTTCTCCAAATTTTTGTAAGAAAATTTTGTTAGCTTGTTTGGTCCTTATATAACAAAAATATGACANCAATTTTGTTTTTCGAATCAAGTTGGTGGGTGAGTTGATAATAATTAACTAAAAATTGGGTTTTCATAAAAAAAAGTCGGAACATTTCAAAAAAAATTTCAATTAATAAGGGGTTTCACAATTTGTTTATAACAAATACGTTTTTTATATGACTAAAATATGGCAAAACTTTTTATATTTACTGACCTTGGGTGGAAAGAAATAAAAAATTTTATGTACTTAAATTTTTAATTTTAAATAAGTCTTTTGATTCTACATTTTTTTTTTTATATAATATAAATATGGCAATACCTTTTCGATTATCTGACCCGAATGACTGAGCGATTTTAGAAAATAGATTGGAAATATTTTTTGAAAAGTCCTTTGATTCTGCAAAATTATGTGGTTTTCTCCAAATTTTTGTAAGAAAATTTTGTTAGCTTGTTTGGTCCTTATATAACAAAAATATGACANATTTATGTACTTAAATATAAATATGGCAATAGCTTTTCGATTATCTGACCCGAATGACTGGGCGATTTTAGAAAATAGATTGGAAATATTTTTTGAAAAGTCCTTTGATTCTGCAAAATTATGTGGTTTTCTCCAAATTTTTTTAAGAAAATTTTGTTAGCTTGTTTGGTCCTTATATAACAAAAATATGACAATAACTTTTCGATTGACTGACGCTGTGGGTAAAAACAAAAAAATCTGTTTCGCTTAAATTTTTAATTAAAAAAAATTAAATTTGTAAGCCTTTTTAGAAAAAACTTTGAAAATATTTTTTAGCGGTTATTTGCATCTAAAAATTCTTGTGTTTTTCTTTTTAATTTCTCGCATAACCTTTTTCTAACTTTAATTTAATTTTTGGTATTTTTTGCTTTATACATTTTGATATGTGCACCGATATAGCTTAGCTGGCTGTGTGCTTCAATAAAAAACGTGAATCTATTCCCTAAACTTTACACTTTTGGTCTTATCCCTAAAAAAAATTTTACTTTATAGAGCTTTCTGAGTTAAAAACATAAATTTTAGGGGATGCTTTCGATTTCAAGACAACCGGCCAGGTACGGGCATGATTTTTAATGTCGGTGAAATTTTTTTGTGGCCGACTTATAAGCTTTTTTGTATTTTATATAAAAATCGATATCTGNCACAATTTGTTTATAACAAATACGTTTTTTATATGACTAAAATATGGCAAAACTTTTTATATTTACTGACCTTGGGTGGAAAGAAATAAAAAAATTTATGTACTTAAATATAAATATGGCAATAGCTTTTCGATTATCTGACCCGAATGACTGGGCGATTTTAGAAAATAGATTGGAAATATTTTTTGAAAAGTCCTTTGATTCTGCAAAATTATGTGGTTTTCTCCAAATTTTTTTAAGAAAATTTTGTTAGCTTGTTTGGTCCTTATATAACAAAAATATGACAATAACTTTTCGATTGACTGACGCTGTGGGTAAAAACAAAAAAATCTGTTTCGCTTAAATTTTTAATTAAAAAAAATTAAATTTGTAAGCCTTTTTAGAAAAAACTTTGAAAATATTTTTTAGCGGTTATTTGCATCTAAAAATTCTTGTGTTTTTCTTTTTAATTTCTCGCATAACCTTTTTCTAACTTTAATTTAATTTTTGGTATTTTTTGCTTTATACATTTTGATATGTGCACCGATATAGCTTAGCTGGCTGTGTGCTTCAATAAAAAACGTGAATCTATTCCCTAAACTTTACACTTTTGGTCTTATCCCTAAAAAAAATTTTACTTTATAGAGCTTTCTGAGTTAAAAACATAAATTTTAGGGGATGCTTTCGATTTCAAGACAACCGGCCAGGTACGGGCATGATTTTTAATGTCGGTGAAATTTTTTTGTGGCCGACTTATAAGCTTTTTTGTATTTTATATAAAAATCGATATCTGGGGTATTTTTAAATATTTAGATTATAATTTTTTCTTTATTTTTATAAAAATTTGTTTGTAGTTATGGACATTACAAAAAAAAAATTCCCCAGATATCGATTATTATCTAATATATAAAATCGGTTATAAATCGGACAAAATTTTTTTTCGAATAACAAACAATGTATTTCGGTTACATCGAAATTAAAATCAAGCCCGTTAGGACGGGTTGCCTTGAAATTGAAAGCAATAGGGGTGATTTCAAGGCAGCCCAGCTCCAAAATGAACCTAAATCGGCTAAGAAAATTTAGCAATAGTCATAATATATGATATACCTGAGAAACAATTTTAGTTTTGCTATATTCTAACATACAAGCGACACATTGCGTCAGCAGGTTCGTTTCTTAAGTCTTTCGTGTCTCACCTCATAATACTCGATGCTTACATGTTTGGATGATTTTTTTTTTTAGAATTTTGCTTGGTATGTATGCAATATAAAACCCCTAAAAAGCATTTGCCACTACAATTCACAATCTATATACAATAAAATGTAAACATCAACAACAATGCCTACCATTATGCACAACATTTCTATTGCTCGTACTACCCGTCTTTGTCTTCTTCAAGCCACCTGCCGTACGTGTTCGACATCGATAAAACAATATAAATATTGCTTCACACCAAAAAATGCAACGCCAAATGAAGCAATCACACAGCAAGCGAAAGTGTCAGCGCCAAAACAAAAAAAAAAAATGCGTTAAACCATAGCAAGCTGTTGTAGGTGAAGCATTGCGACAATGGGTGAAATTTTTGAATTTGACACCCATCAATAAAGCCGGCAAACAATAATAATTACATAATAAAAATTACTGGCACATAGTAGGCGCAAATTGCGCGCACACTGCAATTGTAACAATTTGATGGCATTTAATTAAACTAATTAATCGACGAAAATGGAGGAATGCCGTTGAATTTGTGTCACATTTGAATCTAAGTATGTTGATGCGATTTTAGTCTGGTTGGCCTGAATGCATAGCGGAGCTTCCGCAAAACTTAACTTAACTTAAGCAAATGCGTTTGTCTGCAAAAATGCGTCGCCACCACAATGGCTAACGGCTAATGAGTGGCCGCATACTTAGATAGCGTTGAAGGCAAGCAGGCAGCAAGCAAAGGTTTGCTATGTCTGGAAATACACGCAGGCGTTCACTTCCTTAGCGATCGAATTACGCACTCATGAAGGGGCTTATATTTCGCAGCGCAGTTAACGTAATAACGGTAACAGTTGTGATGCGCGCGAAAAACGTGGTAAAAGAAGCAAAAACTATCTACTTGAATTGAGTGCAAGTAGGCGCCCAACAGTGTATGAATGAACAAGTTGTGCACTGCTTTGCTTGCATGCATGCATTTCTTACTTTTTTCGCTCACATCTTTTTATTTTGCTACTGGCTTCTGTTTTTATATTTTTTTTTTTTTGCGCCAACCACTTGCATGCACATTTACATTCAAGCAATTTTAGCGAATTTACGACAATTTTATTGCCCGGCGTAGTTTACAATGTGATTACAATTCGCTTTCGGGCAAAGACGGTGCGCAATTGTTGAAAGCGAACGTGGTTTCAAATGGTTTATTCTACGTTTTTGTTTCATTGTTCATGGCTGTGTTACTTTTACGGCATTTTATTGCGTATAACATGGCCAGCTGGCTGGCTATTGTTTATATTTAGCTTTGGTTTCTTCGCAAACTTAGAAATATTGTGACAATGGAACGGAAATGTGTGGCTATTTTGCAATGAGTTTAGTGCCAAAATTTATTGCTCCACTTTGCTGGCAAGCGGAGATTTTCGTCTTTTAATGCATTGTTAAACTTTGAGTGGGACATGATTTTGATCGTTGATACTTTTTTGTGAATTGAGCGTGTAAAGTGGGTTAGTGTCTACTTTTGACGGTGTGGCAACTTTTGAAGGTGCAAAATTCAAAGGGAGGTAGAGCTAAGGAATAAGATCAAATTATTAACACAAATCGATTGGAAGCTAGTTTTTAATAAAGTGAAGGATATTCTTGACTTTGGGAACCTAATTCTAATTTTTTTTTTTTAGAAATCTTAAAATGTTTTTCCGATTTTGCTTTATTTTATAGTATATTAGAGCAGCTATCTAGCACTTGATGTTTGAGAAGTAGAGTTAAACTGGTTCATGCCCTTAAGGAGGTGTCGAAGAAGAAGTGATATGGCATTTAAAGAAGGTAAATACTAAACAGACTTCCTGTTAAAATCAAACACATCAATTAAAATGTCTCCTTTTGGCTGATATATCTTTTCTGCCTCTTCTAAAGCGAATCATATAGCCCCGGAATTTGTCATCATGCTGCGATAGAAGCTGGGCCTACAAGCATGGTCTCAATTTGGTTATCCGGCTATGGCCAGGCAATAATTGCATATTTAAGCAGCAAAAATCAGATACCAGAGATAGAGATTACAAGGCTTTAGGGATATTATATGATCGTATCATTGTGGCAAAAAATTTATATTCACAGCAAAGTACCCAAAATGAGTTGGGTTGTAAAAGTTAATTTCTAATACTCTCAGGCTATAAATTTTGCCTGAAAAATATTAGACCGCGACGAAGGTTTCTCCATTAAGCCTTTATACCCTTTTTTCATTGATGACTATAGGCCCTTTAGCTGAGCTTGCCTTCATCTTCTAAATTCTTTCTCTTTGCTCTATTAGACTCAGTTTAAGAACAGACGTTAACGGAAGACGGTGTCCTCTTTTAAGGGAATGATGGGAAACCGGTGAGTTTTTTTTTATCGTGCATTGTTACACGCTGTCAGAAAACGGGAGACAGGAAGTAGAACTGGCACGGAGACTGCAGGAAGTTTGCAAGAAGGGCTGGAACATTCCTTTTTTTGCAATGAGCTCTCTATCACTGTAGTGTTTTTTCGGGCAGAGGCACCTACCGCTAAGGCTCAAATGCGCGACGATGGTAAGGAAGATAAATATCATCTAAGTATATGTGTTAGCAAAGCAAAAGTCAGAGCTTTTCGTCTTGCTCATCGCGCACTCTAAGTTATTATAAGAGTGAGAGCGGTTCTGCGTCTAACGAGAGCAACACATTCACAAGGGATGTGTTTTGGCGTTTCTTCGTCCATCTCACAGAAGCGACAGACGTTCCTGTCTGAAAGATTCATTTTACTGAGGTGATAACGCAGGACACAATGTGCCGTGAAGTACCCGGTGAGAGTTCGAAGGTCCCACACGGCCATAGTAGTAGGATTGCTGGAAACTGCGCTGCGGATGAGTTTCCACCCCGAAGTCGATATACCTAGTAAATAGAGAGTATACTGTATAGTGCATACTGCTCTTGGACGGATGAGCCCCGTGTCAGCTCAGCGAATGTTGGACGAAAATAAGGACAAGCACAGATGTTCGCTGTTCGCTCTGGGCGAGGCGGAAAACGGACAAGGGCTTGCAAGGCCGAAACTCTCAATTCTGGGGCTATCTTTACAAACACTGTCCGAAGGGTATTCATGCGGTGGGTATAAATATTAGAACTGATTCTCAGCTAAATATTTAAAGAACGATGAGGTGGTGTGATCTTATGCAAACAAATTTTTTCAGAACAAAATTTCACGAAAGCAATTTAAGTGAAAAATTATTTAAATTTTTTATGGAAACTAGATCGCCCTCACCCGCTTCGCTGAAAGTATGAAATTTTTGCGTGCTACATGGAGTAAAATTTATTTCAAGAAAACTCAATTCAAAAACAGGAATTTTAAAATTTCTTTAACCATATTCAAAATATTTTCAAACTAAAACTTTCTTAAACTTCTTATATAGAGGGGGAGGGGGGGGGGCGTGGAGCCTCCATAAAAAACCGAGTTTTTCATACCGAATATCTCTGGATATGTTCATGGTAGAGTACTGGAACTTTGTGTGGAGATATATCAAATCAATCTTATACGCATAGAGATGCCGCTGGTATTTAGCCCAACTTAAAATATAGGATACATTTAATCTCGATTAGGCTCGAGGGCGTGACACCTCCCATACAAACGGAATTTTTCATACTGTATTTCTCAGGAAATATTTTTTTGGTAGATTACTGGAACTTGGTATAGAGATATATAAATAAAAGCAGTATACGAAATTTCATGATTATCGGTTGAATAGTTAAAGCGTGAAAGCGTAGCAAACAAATAAACCCACTTTCGGATTTATAATATTAGTAAGGAAGTAAGGATTGACAGAAAATAAAAAAAATCATTTTCCGTTTAAGTTGCTGGGGAAACCGGCACTGAGAGTTAGAATAGAGCAAGGGAATTGAAGTTTCACGAGGCCCAAAGTAGTGACTCAGGCAATGACCGCCAAGGGACAGTTTAGAATAATTCACTTCCTAGACCAAGTTTGCTGCCTAAGTCTTTCGTTTTGTATCAGCCAATGCAGCTAAATCAAATACTGATTTCGAACGGAATTTTTTTTAATAGTAAAGCTATTCGATATTACCTAATAAATATAGGAGTTACTATATGGAATTTTTTTTTAATTGAGATGGTCGAAATACCTTTCAGCTTTGCAGTAATCAAAAAAAAAAAAAATATGTATAATTAAAAGTTTACTCATTTTGCACCCTCACTTTTCTTTTTTAAATGAAAACAACTAATTCTACAATTTAATAGCAGTAAATAGCATTTTTACTTACAAATAATTTCATTGTAATGGGTTTCCTTCAGTCAGCAGCAAAATTAATCACAATAAACCGTCAAAGCGCAGCTACGATGACACTGCAAATAACAAACAGATTTAAGAATTATTTCATTGTTTTTCATGTTGCGAAATTTACAAATTATTTTACTTTCTGAATTTAGCTTAAACCACTTTGGAACACTTGCTTTGCACACAATTTTCAAAACTAAAGTGATTCTCTTTTAGTACAAAATGTTTTTCTTTACAAAATTACATTCTCACACTTACACTTCACAGCACTTGTGCACTAGTCCACTAGTCTGGCGCCAATGCAAAACAATACAAAAATGTACAAAATTTTAAACTTAATTTAAATATAAGTAATATGAGAAAATTATAAAGCAGAATGAATTGTAGAATCGCTACGATTCCAAAGTTTTGACTGGATGCTGCTGTTGGCCAGCTGCTGGCTTATATACCGCGGCACATATTTTCAAAATAAAAATTCCGACTCGCAAAAGTTAGTTGCGAGCCAACGAAAGAGTTAAAATCAAGCAGAGCCAACGCAATGCCGCCGCTGCTGTCGCTGTCGCCGTTGCTGCCTCTGTTGACGTCAACGCAAAATGAACGCGAAATCGAAATTGAAGTCAAACCAATAGCTGCTGACTCGCGATGCGTTTAATTTACGTCGAGCGTCGAGCGTCGTGGTGGTGGCGGTGGTGGTATGCGAGTATGCGCGCACGCGTGCTCAACAAGCTTTTGCGATTACAAAATCGCTTAGCAACAACAACAGCAGCAACAATACAGGCATTGATGTATGTTTTGTAGAGCAGAAAACGGCCTCTAAGGAAAGTGAGAGTGCCTTGGTTAGCAAGCGGCGCAGTTTAGCTACCTGACTGGCTGGTTGGTGGGTTGCTCGCTTCGGTGTTTTGGCACCGGGGAGTTCGCTGCTGCAGTTTTTTGTTTTGAATTGAGCGCGGTGGTATCAAATGAGCGACGAGCTTTCGGTTGTGCGTCTGTAGTAGTGTGCTAACCAGCTGCAGGTGTGTGTGAGTGGTGGTAGTTTGAGCCGGTGTGTGTTTGCCGGTCGAATTGGAGCGTGGATTTTGAAAAAAAAAAATATTCGTAAATTAAAAGTAGTATATATTTTTTCTATAAATTTATTAATAAAAAATTTAAATAGTATAGTAAAAATTGTGTTTTAGAAACGCATAAAGTATACTTTCTCTTCCTTCTTTTAATTCATAAAAATCCTAAGATCTGTAATTAATTTGGTTGTTTCGCGTGCTCACCCACACATTCAAACACCCGAATAATTTTTGTTTGTGTGCATTTTCGGTAGTCCACAGGCCCATTGACTGACGCACACATGCTCAACTTTTAGTAACTCACACCACTAGGCAAATTTTTGTTAATTTAAAATTTACCTTTATGGTTTTTGGAAATTTTTTTTTGCTGATTTTTATATGTTCATCAATATTTTTGCATTGCAATTAACAAAGGTCGTTGTTTGTGCGAATGGAGAGAACGTCTGTTCAAGACAGTAGGAACGTCGTCTAATTGTTGATAATATGGAAAGTCCTTGAGCTCTTGAAGGAATGATCTTGGCCGACAAAATAAAGAATGTGTGCCAATATTTGAGGTCCTATATCTAAAGGAATAGAAATATTAGATACACTCTTCGAGGACTATCTCTAAAGGAGTTCGTGCTTGGACAGACCTCATTAAAAGGATACGCCATGCGTAAATTTAAACACTTCAGTTATATATATAATGTAGAGGAAGAAAATGATAAACATAAAAGTAAAAACAAAGATAAATATAAAGAAAAAGATGAGGATGGGAATACCGAAAAAAGTAAAGATTAAAAAGAGGGGAAGAAAGATTATAATAAAGGTAACTAAAGAGGAAAGGTTATAGAGCGAGACACAGAGACTCAATCTGGGAACTATTTTGGGATTTTAGAGATTTCCGGCATTCTCGGGTCTTATCGATAAAATAATCGATATTTTTATTGGTTTTGTTATCGATATTTTTATCGATTTTGTTATCGAAATTTGTATCGATTTTGTTATCGATATTTATAGATTTTTTTCAATATTTTCCGATTTTGTTATCGAAATTTATCGATTTTTTATCAATATTTATCGATTTTGTTATCGATATTTATCAGTATTTATCGATTTCGTTATGCATGCTTTTCTCGATTGTTTTATCGTTTTTGATGTGGATATTTTTATCTATATTTTTATCGATTTTGTTATGAATATTTTTATCGAGTTTCTAATAGATTTTGCAACCGATATTATTATCGGTTTTGCCACCGAAAATTTTACCAAATTTTTCATCGATTTTGTTATCGATATTTTTATTGGCTCTGTTATCGACATTTTATTGGATGTTTCTATCGATTTTGTTACCGATAGAGTATAAAGATAAAAATGAAGATAAAGGAAAACAGAATAACATAAATGTAATTAGAATGAACAGGGATAGAGGTAGGGATCTAGAATAGAAAAAAGGCAAAAAATAAAACCTTGAGCAAAAGCAGATGTATGTATGTATGTATGTACATATGTATATATGTATTTTGGTTATGAGACAAAATAGATATGTATGTAATGTAAGTTTCATTTCTCCAGTGTGGTCCAGGCGCACTTACTTTTTTTTCTATTGTCCTCGCACCATTGTACTACAATTCTATGCGTTTGCAAGTAATCCTGTATTTACTCTACTCTTCGGCCACGGTTATGGCCATAAAATTCGAAAATGATATACATATTTATAAATTTTAATGAACACGACTTCCATTTATTTTGCTTTCGACCACCGATTGTTTTTGCCCAATCTCACAAATCTACGACACTCCTGATTTTACCTGTGCGCTTTCTCTCGCGATTCCTTTCTGATTCTTTCTCACAACACCGCTCATGTTTTTTAGAATTCTGACTTAACCACTCTCGCTTATTCCTCTATATCTCCGATTTCGTTTTTACAGGGATGTATAAAGGATATAATTCCATGTGAACCGATTTTGACAATTACTATATTTTTATCGGATAGGTGGAGGTTAGTTCTGCGCATTTGATCATGAAGAAATTAACGGCACTTGCTTAAAAATGACTTGTTGTACTCTAGAATCAAATGAGGTATTTGATAACCCCAAGGTGGTTCATGACATCGTAGTATGTATGTAGGTGCCTACTATTTCATTAACTTCCCTGTATACATAGTAACATCTCTACGAGCATCTGCCAGGTAAAGCTAGAAACCATACAATTATGACTGAGACCAAAGCACTTGGCTTCATGCATTTTTAGCTGTTGGATAACTATAAGTTACGTTACATTTAAGCTTGTGTACGAATGCTATCAAGAAAAACGAATTCGCTCTGGGGACCTTCAACAAAGCTCAATATAGTCAATATAGAGCCAAGAAGGGAGTAATCCAAGGATCAACCTAATTGATTGGTCAAAATAGAACAGGGGGTATAACAATTTTCAAGAGGAAGGAGAGAGCGGCAGAAAGGCATAAGTGGGATGACCTTGAACTGTTGCCGTGCAAGAATGCAAAAATTTTATCAGAAGATATGGTAGCTACCAACCGATTTCGTGGCCAGGCCTAACTAGCTCCCGCAGAGATAAAGATGGAAATTAAGTAGCAGAGATATGAGATTATCAGTTATCAACGCTTTCGATGCAGGTGTCGCGTTAAACCATTAAAGCTCAGGCAATTAATATTTATTTCATGGTAATATCGGCAATACTGTGTGAAAATCGAAAGCCCTTAATTATCCAACTGAATGGGCCTTATCACTGTGACTTCAGACCTAGTAAATCCACGTTTAACCAGATTTTCACAGTTCATCCTGGAAAAGAGCCTCGGTAAGAAATACGATATACATACGTAACCTTTTCATCGATAAAGAAGCCACTTTTGAAATCATAGCACAGAAGATAATCCAGCCGAAAACCCAGCATACTTAGCGCAGAGCAGGATAAGAAAGGAGGTGGTCTATTCGTGAACGAGCAAAATAAAAAAAATACTTCTACAACGTCACTGTTCCCAGTTACTATTTAAAAGAAGCGAAGGTGTTGTATACCTAGGTTGCTGGTTGTATTAATACCAACAATAATGTTAGCCTGGAGTTAACAATTAGGTACTGCTTTTGGGCTCATAGAGAAAATTGAAGGCGGAACTCTGTCGACGAAACAAAAACCCGCTCTTCAAATCGTCTTTAGGTCCATCTATTATATGAAGCCGAAACACGGACGTTGTGAAGAAAAATATGCAAGGTCTTTTGGGACTTTCTAAGGCACAATTTTTCGCAAAATCCTGTGGGCGATGGGTATCGAAAAAAATGGACTGACGAACTGTATGTGCTTTACAATGACCCATGCCATTGTAGTTGCATTACGATTCAACGTATGTGTTGGCTTGTATATGCCATACGCATCGTGATGATGCCTAGGTGAAAAGATCTTTCGAACTGGCACGCATAAGTGGACAACAAAAGCTCACGAAGAGAATGTGATGATCAATGCAAGAGGACCTATCCATACTTGCGACGACCAATTAGCGTAACTATGTAGAGAAAAGAAGGCATTCGCGAAATTATTTTGGCCTCCGCTCAAACCTATATAACTAGCAAATATTTTTTAAGAAATTCTACTTTTTTATCATTGCCCTCATTTTTCTTTAAATATTTAGCTTTTGACCTTGGAATTAAGAGTGCAACGGAATGCAAGTTAGTGCAAATTGCCAAAGTGATAACAGGCATGTGGAAATCATTTGTTTGTTTGAACTCAACTGCTTGGGTTCGTCGATCGCAAATTTATTTTTTGATTTTAATGAACTCGTTTCGTATTTTCATAACATTTTTAAGCCAGACAAACATTTACATTGTTAATTGGTGCAATCAACTAATAATAAATTAAGGGTTTCTAACCTTTTTATTAAAATATATTTATTTTTATTTTATAAGCTCTCTGTTCTAACAAAGGAGGAAAATTGGTGTATTGTGGACGTTTTTCCTACCACATTTTCAAAAACCTAGTGCCACACACAAGCGGATTTATAAAGGATAATTTTTTTGGTGATTAATAAAGTAATTGATATCACTAGGCATCCAAATCAAAATTATTTGGAGAAAACTGAGGACTGTTGGCCAACAATAACACTGATTTCCTAAGGGCTTTCAATTCCGAAACAAAAACTATAAGAGCCACTGCAGTTTTTTGAAAAAATTTAGAAAGCCAATTAGTTTGCCCAGTAACATTTTATTTTAGTTGTTTTGAAATTACATTAATATAAATGCTATCAAATTAATTTATTCATGGCGTAGAGTAAAATTAAATAAATGAATTTTGTTTTTTAAGCGCACAAACAGCGTCATCGGTGACTTTCATTTAATATTATGTGTTTCACTGC